ATAATTCAGTGCATAACATAACATTGTAAGGTATTCTGGGGATCTTTACCGTTCGGGCGCTGCTGATCGTACACACTGCTCCGTTCTTGTTTACCACTTTACCATTTATAAAAATTTATGTCTTTATTATTTTTAAAAGATTTTCCCTCAAATCCTCGGTTTGAGTTCAGTTACACCCAAAGGTACACCCGAATCCCTCAAACCAAGGCTCTGATACCAATTGTAACAACGCAAATTTTCAAATAAAATTTTCATTTAAAATAAAGTGATTTCATTCAACCGAATATATTTATTCCATGTTTCATATCAAATACATTTATAAAATCCCCAAGATCTCAAATATCACCAGTGTGTATACATCACGCCGGCGCCTTCCCACGGTCCTCGCTAGTACCTGAAACACATACATAACAACTTGTAAGCACAAATGCTTAGTGAGTTCCCCAGTATACGACTTACACATATACGCCTTTCCAGGCCCTGACCTTCCGGTCCACAACACATTGCCTTCCGGCCCGTAACATGATCGCCTTCCGGCCCGTAACATATTGCCTTCCGGCCCATAACATATCGCCTTCCGGCCCATAACATATTGCCTTCCGGCCCATAACATATAAAGCACATATTACATTTACTCTAACACATATAGCACATATATCATATATCATACCTGACCTTTCTGTCACATAACGTATTGCCTTCTGGCCCATATAAACATACATAGCATGCATAGCAACTACCTTTCTATTTATAGCATAAATAACACATATCATATCCGACCTTCCGGTCACACAGTCAAGCCCTTCCGGGTACAGTATAGTGAGAAGACTCACCTCGTGGTAATAAAAACTATCAACTCTTGAAATCACTCGCACTCGATCCGCCGATCTGCAGACTCCCTATAATACCATATACCCTTATTAATACTCTTATCATTCAAGACAACTGACCCTAAAAAATTACATGCAGGTCAACTCTGGTCAACGGTCAACGGTCAACGGTCAACTTGACCGGACTCGTCGAGTGCAAAGGCGACTCGGCGAGTCAAGACGTCCTCCCCAACTTTCCCTGATGTTCCCTTTCTACTCGTCGAGTATCCCTCTTGACTCGACGAGATCCTCGTGGAAGAATCGCGGGGCCACCCCGACTCCACTCGTCGAGTCTGAAGAACAACTCGACGAGTCCCAGTCAATCTTCAAGCTACTCGCCGAGTCTGTTCATTGGACTCGGCGAGTCCATGCCATGCAGTCGATCAAACTGCTTCCTGAAATACGTATGGTCCCGAAATACACAAGCATGGGACCTTCTGGACCTTTAAACATCCTATTACTGGGTTATAAACGTTTGGGTAACAAGATAATAGTCCATCTAATCACCAAATGGATTTCATAAACCCTAAATTCGTGCACACATCAATATAGCAGAAATGATCCGAAATATTACCTGAATAACACCCTCTCTGTGTCCCCAAACCTCAGGACTCGATCCCCTTGATATTCCTTTGGCCAAAACTCTTCTTCTTCTTGCCTAACAAATTCTTCAAGGTTCCAATAGCCTTCACTCCTGCTCTAGATGTCCACAGACGCTTAGGGTTCTTTTCAATCGGCCAAAAGACGGACAATGACGGCATATAGGGCGTTATATACGATCCAAAACCAAACGGCTAGGGTTTCTGCTGAACAGCATAGACTCGTCGAGTCCATATCTGGACTCGTCGAGTCCAGTCGCGAACCCGCGACCAAGTCTGTGGTCCTACTCGGCGATTCTGGCTCCAACTCGCCGAGTCCCTTCCTAAAATGCCCCAAAATAATATTAAAGCTATACCTGGAATTCCGGGCTGTTACAGTAGATCCACTCTTCTAAGGCCCATCCTTCAAGTAAAGTTGCAAACTTTACGTGAAAACAAGGAGCTATAGGCTTAAAACACTCTCTAGCGCTAGGTTTGAGACAAGCATGCTTCATCAACACACCAAAGACTGATACTTTATGGGTTTCTGGGCCAAGACAACCCTAGATCCGAAGTTCTCTTTGCTCACAAAGGCACAATACACGAATTGACCTTGGAAATGGCCCAAAATGATAAAATCTAATTAGGAAGGGGAATCTATATGAATAACACCAAGGTATGAGCTCCATACCTTCCTATGATCTGAAATAGCACACCAACTCAGAGCCCAATGCCACTTCTTGAATCACCCAAGGTTCCTTTCTTCCTTTTTGCTTCTAAGCACTCAAATGGCAAAGAAAGCTTGAGAGTACTACAATGGAGGCTTAAGGTTTCAAGGGAAGGTAAAAGGAGTGATGGAGGCTGGGGTGAAGGCCTGAAATGATGCTTAAATAGGGCATAAAACCCGGGAATCAGGGTTTCCCAACCCAGAACTGACTCGCCAAGTAAGTCCCTCCGACTCGCCGAGTCGGTCACTTAAATCCGGACACAGAACCTGCTCCAACTTGTCGAGTTCACCTATGGACTCGATGAGTTGACCCCTTTGACTTAGGGTTTTCCTTTCCTTTCTTGGTCTTTCTGATTCTGAGTGTTACATGCAATGTACTCGAATTGGGGAGATAAAGCATTTAGGAGATGGGCGACAAGAGTTTTCTCAGGTATAGGATTCTCAATACCGGAGATAGTTTTGATTCGTTGACAATATTGAGCAATAGTAAGATCACCAAGAGTCATGTTTCTTATTTCCTTCTCAAGTTCAATGGCTCGAACATCTTAGTTATCTAAGAATAGATTCTCGAGACTAAGCCAAACAGGGTTGGCCGTGGAGGCTGGAGAGAGAATCATATTGATAAGGGATTGAGTGAGTGTTCCATACAACCAAGTTTTTACCACTTTGTCGAGTTTGAACCATTCTTCATCTTTGTTAAAGGTTGGTTTTGAATCGCCAGTGAGAAAGTATTGAACACCAAAACCGCGAAAGTATGTTTCAAAAAGCTCCCGCCAAACATCATAATTAATTTCATTGAGATCAAGGATGATGGGAATGTATGTCTTGATGGGCTCCATACGACTTCTGATTGCTTGATGATGAGGGGTTTTCGCCGACCAAAGAGAGAGAAGGAAGGTGTGACAGATAGGGTTAGAGAAGAAGTAGGAGACATGATCAAGGAATGATATGAGCAAATCGCTCTATACCATGAAACACATTAATGATTTCCCCATGATTGATTGATTGATTTCTATTAATCCTTTGAATATATACAATTTATGTTGAGCTCCATTGGGCTAATAATACAATATCAATATATATATATATATATATATATATATATATATATATATATATATATATATATATATATATTTCAACTTAGCTTATCAGAATCTATAAGTTTCGATACCAACTTGTAACATCCCAAAATTCAAGACCAAAAATTTCATTTTTAATATAAGAAACACTTAATAACTTTGTTTCAAACATCGAAAACATTTCATTTAAAATAAGTAGCAGAGTCTAATCCCAAAGATCACGTAATGCGAAATAATATGGGTGAATGCGATGCGATCGTCCCGAGCTCCTTATCTGAAAACTGAAGGTACCTAAAACCAAAACTGTAAACCGTAAGCACGAAGCTTAGTGAATTCCCCAAATACCACATAACATACATATCCACTAAGCCATACATACCATACATACTGTGAGCCATACATATCAAACATATCCATAATCAAATAAGATGTTATGTGTCGCATATAGTCTTGTCGTTATGTCGCGGGCCGCCATGTGGTCATTCTTACCAAGCCGGGGGCCACCCCCTAGGTCTTACAAACAAGTGCCAGGAGCCACCTACGGGCCTTCCATGCAAGAAATCACAAAGACAACTGGCATCAAATCTATTCTACTTAGCTACTTAGCATAAAGTGTGCCAGGACTCACCCCCTGGTCTTTCTACTACACATAATAGCATATTATGTTCCAGGAGCCACCTCCTGATCTTTCATACATAATGCCTAGGTCTAACTCCATGTCTTCCTACCATACATAAACTAAATGGATCGTTATTGGTGCCTTAGACCCATACACAGTGAGGAGACTCACCTCGAATGCTGAAGCTTGCTGCCCGAACTTCCTAGTTGTTGCTATGATGGTTTTCTCAAACTAACAATTACCAACACAATATCCAATTAGCAACTAAGTTTTAAACCATGAACCATAATCCAAATCTTGGGGCAAACTGACCATTTTACCCCTAGCCCAATAAGACCATAACTAAGGTCTAAAACTATATAATCCATAAAAACCCATCAATGGACCAATTTTCCAAATTGGGCCCAAACCCTTACATGGACCTTTCCCTAAATTCCATTTACTTCTCTGAACCAATGATTTTTCCTATGGCCCAAAAGTCCAAGCCCATTAGGCCCATTAAGGCCCAATTCTTCATCTAACGCCCATTAGGGCAAGCCCAACCAGAAGTCCATTACTCTACAATCCTTAGTCCATTATCATCCCAAACCAAAGGATATGTCCAATACCAAGCTAGCCCACAATCAAAGAGTCCAAAACTTGCTCAGGGGCTGCTCACGTCGTGAAGTCGCGATTACTGTCTGAAACTTCCACAAAACATTCTCACGTTATGAGGCTTCATTCCTCACGTCGTGAGTACAGATCTGACCAAAAATGAGCATTAAGCTCCTAATTCATTAAAACTTAACATGGGAAAATCTAGAGGGTCTTCCTTGACCCCAAGGACAATAAAAATCGAAGCTTTCTAGTCACATATGTCCAATACATGACTTAAACACCAACTTGGTCAAAATGAAGGAAAAAGGGCCAAGAGTCAAACTTGGAGTCCAAAACCATGACCAAAGTCCAGATCTAGAACATATAAGACTTAAGATGCCATCATAAACCATAAAGTTGCTAACTTTATGGATTCCATGCATGCTAACCAACATTACAAGCCATAAAATGCATGGAAACTTAGATCTAGCAAGAAAGGAAAGGGAAGGCATGAACTTGAGGACTTATAAAGGTCCAAAAGCTCCTCAACTATCTGATACTAATGATCTTCTTCTCCTTAATGAGCTTCAAAGCCTCCAAAATCTCTTGAATAACACCAAAATGACCAAGAACTTTAATGGGGGCTGAGATTAGGGTTTCTAGAGGTCTTGGGAGTGAAAGAAGCTGAGGAGGAGCGACCCTAATCATCTCATACCTTTAAATACCTGAAAATTAGGGTTTTAGTGCATCAGATGCTCCTCACATCCTGAGCACTCATTGTTCACGTTGTGAGGCTTAAATGAGCTCGGTCAACAAGTCAACAATCAACCACCCGAACCACTCCAACTTCAAACGACCATAACTTCTTCGTTTCAACTTCGTTTTTGACGTTCTTTATATCCACAGAAAGGCGTGAGAAGCTCTACACATCTATTAACTTATCCTCACCTGTAAACCTTCCGAACGAAAATCCAAAATTGATAAGGAGCTCCAACTGCCACTTTACCGATTTACCCATTGGCTCTAAGGCACAATCCAAACTCTCGGATCACCTCAATTACTTCTTCTGTACCTAAATAGGTCTAGATCTCTCTTCTCCAAAGGCCCTAAGCCTTATGATAACCCATCATCAGGCCACAATCTCGAATTAGGAAAGAGTTTCGCAACAGGGCATTACAACTTTCCCCCACTTAAATTGGATTTCATCCTCAAAATCAATCGTTACCAACACCCATATCCAAAACTATTGATCCGAGGAACGCAACCGATGATCCTACGCATAAGTCAAACTTCTTAAGTCAACCGAAACCGATCCAAACTTCCACCCGAAGAAACGAACCTTAAGCTTTCGTAAACCACTTTTGCCTTCCCAAAGTCTGAATTCGATAATGGTCTGTCTCCCTGACATACAGCTTGCACTGCCTTGTTACCATGCTTGAACCTCACCGAATAACTGATAAACCATAGAACTTCAAACTCTAATGATCTTGATGCAACCTTCGAAAAGAAAGCCCTTAACCATAACCCTACTACAGAATTTTTATACTTGACAGAAGGCTCAGATAATCCTTCAAGTAGAAGATTCACCCCTGCAACAGTTAGACTCATACAAGAGTTGCGAACAGTTGGAACATACTCTGCCCCCAAACCGGGTCACAAAACTCCTCCCCGAAGCTTCTCATATTCTCCAAGACTCTCACCGATTCGAGTATGGATCATGTGCTTTCAGTAGTATGGGCCCAATAGTACCTTCCACACCTATCTATACTTTCCTCAGCAATCCTCCTGAATCCTCCAAGTCATTTCCTCCAACCCTTTGGTTCTGATAAGCAAAGTTGATCACTTGAATTTCACATTCGGTGTATATAATTCTTCAACCCTTTGGTGATTGAGAAGCGGTCCTTGACTTGGCTTCAGTTTGACAAGTCAACTTGGAGAGAAAGTTTGGTATCTTGGGTAGCCTATGTCTTGGGCCCATAATTTAGGTCAACAACTACTAAAAATGAATCTGTTAGTATTGATTGTAACCCTAAAACAAGAGCATGACATTGTAAATGCACTAAATACATAGGCATTGTATAGCACTAAATATCAAACAAAAGAACTCTCTAGTTTTGCATGTGGATGTAGCTTGATTCCTCTGATCAAATGAATCACGTTAATTAAATCCTTGTGTTCTTTGTTATTCTTCAAGAGTTTGTATCACTGTGCTTGTCGAAGTACTTAACTACCTAGCTAGCAGTATGTGAGAAAAATGGAGCAATTGACCTTGATTAAATGGTTGATTTTATCATCTATATATGTTGAATAAGCCAAGTTGGCTTAATGGAAAGAAATTTTATGATTAGCTTTAATGCTACCACAAGCACATACAGATTTACCACTCTAACATATAAAAAACTAAAACTTTAAAAGGACATTATGGATTTATATATATAGATATGTCGATCAATTTCAAAAGGAAAAATGAACACTCGTCAGGTTACACGGAACATGCAATGTTCTTGCATTTATCTTGAGTTTAATCAACAGAAATATATCTCAAGAAACTCTATTAAATGTACCCATTGTTCTATTAATCGCACTTTATAGCTGCGTACAAGTAACGAACAAAGAGCAATGAGGCACGAAAACCCACACTTCCCAGTACCAAAAATACACCGAAACAGACGCATGCCATATAGCCAAAGAAAAAAGAGATCTGCAAGAAACTATTCATGTATGATCTCTCAAAATAATAATAGATGCAATAAACATATATATACAATCCAGTAGAGCCTCCACACAGAAATGACCTGTGTCAAATGAAGAACTCTTATTAGTTGTAACTTATAAATTATTAGCTCATGCATATAGCAATTCAAGACCATAATCAGTTATCTTATCACACCAACTATATATTTAACATACCTCCACCACCATTGATGATCTTCAACTGCAAGCTGGAAATATGTAAGTGCCACAGAAACTAAAGCAGTCATGATGAGAAGAAGAATGAAGACTATGGACATAATACCATAAAGTGTATAAACGCTATATCCCCAAACACTTGTAAATATGTAATACAACTGAATATAGATGACACTGAAAGGCAAAATTCCTGCTAAAGCCATCTGAGGGAGAACACCCCTATACCAACGCAACTTAGGAACCTCTCTAGGAATTTTAGCAGTTTTGCAGGGAGCTTGGAATTCAGACACTCTGGTTTTCCCAATAATGCCTCCTAAAAGATGCAATGGTGATGCTATGAATATCCACAAGAGAGATAGCATGACTATTGCTCTTAATGGTAATGCAGTAGTTGATCCATAATAAATGGCAACATTGTCTAGGAAAGTAAAAGTAAGTAAGAGAGGCCCGAAATATAATCCTCCTGCCACTAATAGGTTCTTTATCTGTAAGGGAGAAATAAAGACAGCCAATCAGTATTAACCTTTTTATGTGAATAAAAATAGATCAAATTGTATAAGTTTCATATTTTCACATACCCAGTTGGTTCCTTCGAGTTGACAATAGAAAGAAACAGAAGTATATCCTGAGACCAAAGATGTAACTGCATATACAATGATAAGTGCGTTCCAGAATACTCCTCGCATATAGGGCTGAAAAACACCTAGGACCCCAAGACCTAGAATTGCTACGATCCTTCAATTTCAACAAATGAAAGGTTAGAAAAGTAATTTAAGATGCACCCCCAAAAAATCATATATAAAAACCATAAAATAAAGTCAAACCCACGTAAATGACAAAAATGGTAACGTATATTTAGATAAAAAATAATATTTCCGAAAAAAACATATATATCGCGCTTTATGAATGCAATTTCAATATACGAATGTTTATTTTGCAAGATAAGACTCGATTTCGCGTATTATTTTTCTCAGAAAACAATGTTTTCCAAATTAGTTAAGGTTTTTCGTGGTGAGGCTACTAAAAAACAATTTCGCAATTTGCAATGGGACTATGGCAAAATCTGTGGTCATTTTTTGCAAAAAGTCAAAAGATAAGACATATTTCATATTCTTTGTAGATACTCACACTACAAGCAACTGGGTTCCAGCACCAAGAGCCGCAGAAAATAAAGACTTGTGTTGTGGGAATCTAAATACATCACCATGGACATTCTTCCATCCTATCTCTTCTTGATTATTTATCACTTGATCCTCTTCCACATCGACTGAGTTCCTTTCATTTTTCATGCAATGGGAAAACAACAAAGGCAACAAAAGAGTTATTCTATTTGACAAACATAACAAACTCAATAACTTGAATATGCAAACTTATTTTTTGTGAGTAGAATCAATACTTGGAAATGTCTTCGCGAAGGACGAGTAAGTAAAATGTGAGTAAGGATACGATCAGAATGAGGAGTGTGACACTTGAGAATGTAATTGAGTGATGATGTATCGGCATGTTGTGAGGTAAAATGGTAGAATCAATGTATATCTCCATTCTCCTATCAAATGATTGTTGTGTCATTGTCCACTTAACAGAGTATGTGAAGCCAACATCAACTTCCTTGTCTTCTGTAACGTCTGCAAATGAATTTGCCATTTGTAGAATCACCTTAATAACTTGATCCTTATTGTAAAAAACCTCGAAATCAAAATGTTTGTAAAGCGAATACTCTGTCTTGATCCTTCCATTAAAATTTCCGTCATTTCTCATTCCTATAAAAGCCCATATTGGCAAGTCATCATAGTGCAATTGCATAAAGTAGTTCTTCTCTATAGCCCTTCTGAACATAGAAACATCTGTTTTACTCAGTGTCTTATTGCATGAGACTTCAAAATCTTTATCCACAAGGAATTCAAGCTTATATGGAGTTGAAATAAGACGATCTCCATTCAACATCTCTCCTAAATTAAGCTTCTTCTCTTTCACAACATCTGTTATTAGATAAACAATATGGAAGGATTCAGTAAGTATAAATGGAGGTTAAAATGACTGAAAGAGAACAAAAGAAAGACCCAACACATTCATGAAAGAATTAAGTACCTTGAGAACAAAATGGAAGTTCATAATAAGCATACGTTTCTCTGAAAACAAAGTAAACAAGAATAAGGAGGAATACACACAAAAATAAATAGAAAGGAAAAATACTATGGAGATGTCTAACCTAGAATTAAAGTATGGCCCAATTTTGTTGGCATAGAAGGGGACTATATCACCTTTACTGTAGCGATGATCATTGGCATCTGATTCTACTTGGATTCCAAGGTAGATCAGTAGAAGCATAAGAAAAGGGTATTTTCGTAACTTTACCATTCCTGTTGATCTACAAATAAAAGTGAAAAAACATGAGCAAGTTTCATACCAAAAATCGGATATATTATAACGAAAGCATCTTGCAAGTAATACAAAACTGGTTCTCATGAAGCCATTTAAGTTGCACAAGTATACCATATTGTTTTACATCAAAATATTACAAGAATCTTTGTGGATTTTGGAAAAGTTGATGATTTGACTAAAAAGAATTTTGGGTTATGTACGTTATATGATATTTTGGTTGCCTAGTATCTCATTGTTCCATAAACAAATAAACAAATTGTTCAATCTGCTATGCGTCACACAATTAGGCGTTTAGCTATAGTTCTTTCAAAGCAATGGAATACAGGATAAATGAATGTCATTGTTGCGAAGGAAACAAAAGCCAAGTTATAAGGTGAATCCTAGTATTAAGATATGAACACTCAAACATAAGTAATTATCCAAAAAAAAAAAAAAAAACAATTTAGTTGTAATTTACTGGAGAGCTAACAGAGACAACAGAATCAAACATCAAACTATAATTGTCAAGTAAATACCAAGAACGTGAGATGATCAGTGATGGAGAAAGAGAAGACTTTTTACAGTGAAGGAGAAGGATGCGGTGATGGAAAAGGTCTTAACTGGTTGCAAACCAGAAGTATTGTTGGGGATGGTGAGACGACTTTGACTTTGAGTCTTCCACTCTCATCAGCCGACTGTAAAGTTCACTTGTCTCATATCTTGGTCGTTATCTGTTCAATAATTTTGAGGAAGTTACAACTTACAAATGTTCAATTTTTTTTTTTTTAATAATATTTTGAGTAAACTACACGAATGGTCCCTATGGTTTGGAATAATTTGCATGTTTGGTCCGTAATTTATTTTTTAACTTGGAAGATCCATAATACTTGTTTTTCTTTCACGATTGGTCCTGTCTGAGTTAAAAAGCTTATTGTGCCACTTGATGATTTCTTTTTAATTTTTGTTCCTTTTCATCATTTTTAATTAAAAGAAAAAAAATAATAAAATAATAAAATAAAGTAAGCTTCTCATCCCTAGCTATATACAGATATACTATATATTTCTCTCTTATTTAACATAGCAAACCCTACATGTTGTTTTGTTGTTCTATGCCATCAACCACTCTTCGGTGAATTAATCCATTTCAATGGGTGTTTGGAAGTGCTTTTTAAAACAACTTATTTATTTATTGGATTTTCAAAAAGTCAAATAGTTAAAAAGGTGTTTGGAAAACACTAGCTTTATAGGCAAAAAATAATTTTTCCAAAAAGCCATGAATTTCTGAATTTCCAAAAAGCCAATAAGCATTTTGAGAAGCAATTCCAAACACTCTCTCAAGACCCGAAAACAAGTTATGTCTAAGTGTCTGCTGCTAATTTGTACAACCTAGATCTGAACAAGAGCTTTAGTGTCGCCGTCATCGTTTTTGTTACAACATCGGATCCACCCTCGGAGAAAACATACATGGTTTGTCACCCACCTGTTCGCCGTTGGAGTAAATCACTAGAGCGAGAAAAGTAGAAAGAGGGAGGAGCCTTGAAGAATCAATATGAGATCTAAGTTTCAATTGTTCATTGTTTCGGCGATGTGGTTGTTGTGTGCTAGCAATGTTTCGAAGCAGGAAATCAAAGAATTTAGGGATGGATTTATGGTTAGGATTTTTAGTCTAGTTTCAAATTTTTATTCCAATATATTGGATAGTATGATTTAATTGAATGTCTGGTGTGAATGAATTGATTTTTGTTTTTGATTTTAGATTTGATTTCCTTTTCGATTTAATTTTCCATGGTTGTCTCCTCCGTTGTCAGTTGACGAGCTTTTCATTTTTTTTTTTTTCATTTCAAGACCAAAAACAATATTTGTCTATGTATATGATGTTGATTTATGCAACCTAGATTTGATTTTGGTTTTAATTTTAGATTTGATTTGCGTTTGGGAATTGATTTATGGTTTTGATTTTAGATTTAACTTTTGGTTTGAATGGATTCAATATGGTTTTTATTATTTCCGGTGTGAGAGATGATGTTATTTGCTTCAATAGTATAGGTGATGGTGGCGTAGATGGTGGTTATTTCTTTTGGTGGCATTTTACTCCGTCAAGAGAGGAAACTGGGTGAAAGACTAGAAGGTATAAAGGGACGATGTTAATTTTCTAGATTAATCATAAATTTATAATAATAAATTACAAAAGAAATACATAAATAATAAAATTAATTAAAAGTCAATTAACAAAGGTTTTTAGGTTAGACAAGGACAAACCTGCAACAAAAACAAATAATATAGACCTTCTGAGTTAAAAAAAGTTAGCGATTAAATGCATAAGTTACCCCAAACCATAGACCATTCGTGTAATTTACTCTAATATTTTTAAAGGAAAGCCCTAGAAAAACCCTACCTCTTATCCTTCAATGCTAAAAAAACCATTATGACATTTTTTTGTATAATAAAACCATTTTATTTGTTCATCATGCCTAAAATAACGATTAGTAATTGTGACATCCTCAAATTTCTCGGCTAGAAAAGGATGTTTTAGCTATACTTATTTTAAAACATAGTTAATTTATAAATGTGGAATTTGTCCCGTAAAAATATTTACGAATAAATGCTTTCCATTGATTGATTAAAGTTTGGGATGTCATAACTGATACAAGAAACATAAGAATAAACGTAATCATTACATGCCTTACATATTTAATGGTTTATGTTTCCTTTAATCTCTCATCAGATCGAACATCAAGTACCTTCATATTGATATCTATTATGCAAATAAACTGAGTGGGTTAGGTTGAAAACCTGGTGAGTACCACTAGTACAAAAATGACATACGGCCACGCTTTTTGGAAATAGGGTTGTCACGGATTTGGTTAATTGTGTCACTAAAGGTCATTAATCAAATTACAGTAATGTTTTAGTCCATATCAACTAAAAACCGTCACTATTACAAACTATTTTCACACATTTTATCACTGTTTTACATAAAAAGTGTGAAAAATACTTGTCAATAGTCACATTATATTATTGTGATTGTAAGTATTTTATTATGACATGTTAAAAAACACGTGATTATAAGTGTTTTATGATAACAGTTAAATTTCATATGTATGTCTAAAATTAATGATTTTGAATATATAAAAAAATAACAAGTAACTGTAAGTATTTTATGATGATATTTAAAAAAATAAAACATGTAACTAAAAGTATTTTATAGTCACGTTTTAATTTTTATATGTCTAAGCCCATAACTATAATTGGTATGTACACGAATTGATAGCACCAAAATCCTTTTGGGTTGCCCTCAAACCTAGCAACTAGACAAAGAAATTATGAAATGAGACAGATTAATTTATTATAAGATTAATAAATTAATATAAATGATTTATTAATATGTTATGAGATTAATATATTAATTAGAAATCATAATGTTTGATTAATAGTTGGCCAAAAATTAAATGGAATTGAGTTTCGGGTTAATTATATTAATTATAATGTATAAAGACTAGTTTGCAATTATCAAATAGTTGGGTGGAAGGTTCCAAAACCTCCTTGGAGGAGGTGGACGAAATCTATAGGGGAAACCCTAATGATTTCGACAAAGGGCCTTGGATAAGGCTTCTGGATAAGCTTGGGCCCGAAGCAAAAGAACATTAGAGTTTTCCCTTAAACCCTAGCTGCCTCAGCCATATAAGGAGCCTCTTGGCTCCTGAATTTTGATGATCCCTACACCTGGAGAAACCTTAGCCGAAAATTGCATACTCTTTCATCCTCTCTCTCTCTCTCTGTCTCTCTCTCTCTCTCTGTGTAGCTTCCTTCTTTCTAGTTCTTGGGTGTGATTCCATTAGAGGCATTACATGTGTGGTGCTAAGCTTCCAAGAAGACCAAGATCAAGGATTACAATTGTTTACTATAACAATTGAAAGGTATGTGATTCTAAAACCCTAATTAGGTATTTTCAAAAATAACATCCTCTCTTAGGGTTCTTGTTTTGCAATTCAAAGTTATATGTTCAATAGTTAAAACATAGATCCAAAGTAGGTTGCATGTGAACTTAGGAATCGTTTTTCTAGTTTATTTTCTTTACTTAAAACTCCTCACTAGTATCAGAGCCCTTGTTTTTTTTTTAAATTGAATTGTTATAATAGTTGAATTGCAAATTAGGGTTTATAGCTATTAAACCCTAAAGGCCATGTTTTTCGTTTTTAGGGTTTTGGTTTGAGGGGTTTTCGAATAAAAAACCCCTAGCCTCCATAAACCCTAATGGAAATTAGGGTTAGGGTTTAAAAAAATCCTAGCCACCTTCTTTAACTTTCGAAATTTCCTTAGGTTTTTAGGGTTTCTTGTTTGGATAATTGTTACTTAATTGGATTAATTGGATAATTATCCTGTACCCTAAATTTTTGAAATTTAGAGGGTCTAGGATTAGGATTAAATTAATTGTTTAATTTAATTAGACAATCCTCCCAATATTTAATAAATTAAAAGTTAATAGATAATTATTAAATTTAGTTTTTGGTTTATTTTGAATTTGAAACTAATACTCTAATTTTCGAAAATTCATATAAACCCTAAAGTTTTATAAAGTTTAAAACACTCCTTTTATATATATATATATATATATATATATATATATATATATATATATATATATATATATATACATATTAATTAAAAGTTAAATATTATATATGTATAAGAATTGGTCAGTAGAATCGCTAGTATGCCTCATTCACGAAGCTAGTCTATAAGTGGGTATAAGGAAACTGCCTATAAAATGGTAGTTGAATGGGTGTCCACTCTCACCCACCACTTCCTTGATTAGTGGAGGGTCGTTAGCAGAACGGATTTGATAGGACAAGTTAATCTCATTAAAAGTGTAATGTTATTAACTAAGTACTAGAACATCATTTTACAAAATCCTAACTCTAGTTACTTTACGAAAATTTTGAATAGTATGCTAACCCATGAAATTGCACATTAGGCTTTATAAGTCGTTAGTGGAGCATATGTGGTTAGTCGCCACACTAATTAGGACTAATAAAAAGTCGTAATGGGTATCTCATGATTATCATTGTTGAGGGAGCATGTGTGCTTTGCCAGTAAATCAATAGATAATGATAAAGACAATGAGGTGACCAAGCACATTTGAATGGTTATTTACATCTTGTTTGTGATCCTCGGTATCCCAGTCACAAATAGAAGAATATAATCCAAGATTGAAACATGTCATTGAAAAGTTCAATGTATCTCAAAAGAATTAGGAATTTGACTTAATTTCGTTTCATCTAATGGTGGAATTAGTGAATCGTCATTCACTTACCTTTATGAAATTCACACTTGGATCTCGGAATCCCAATTCTAAGTTGTGAACCCTCATAGTTGGATCCTAACCCTAATATTGTATCTTTGGGATATTATATTAAGGTATCTTGAAATCTAACTGAAACTATCTTTTTTTTTTTTTTTTCAGATGTCTACTCCTGGAAACACTTCTGCTTCATCATCCTCCAACTAAGGTTTCTCTTTGCTCTCCATTTGCTCCAGAGTCGTTATGGATGGCACGAACTATAATGACTGATGCGTAACATAAAAATAGCGCTTCATTTTGAGGACAAAGAGTGTGTCCTCGAGAAGGAGCTCAAAGAGATTGATGAAACCATAGTTGCTCCCAAATGATATGATGCCTATAAGAAG